ATGAGATTGCAACTGTCTGACTTCTCAGTCACGCGCGCACCCAACCGAAGGAATATAAAAGACTATTTATTGGTAACCGAAACATGCTACTTTAGGAGGTCAAGCTCGCTTACTACTCCGCGTCTGGTTTACAGCTAGTGTGAGTGAGTTCCACTCCACGGGTTAATCATATTAACGGAATAGTTCGATTCCTTTGGCGCGGGCTGGTATTTGCTAGTCGATCGATTCTCACTCGATTCTCAAATTCAGCTCCGCTTGCGTCTCTATTACCTCCCTTTTCGAATTGAGTCAGCTTGCAGACTCATCGAACTTGATTGTGTTCGTAGTTTTTCACCCAGGGATCGATCTGCAACCATTGTGGTCTCTCCTGTTTCCCTGCCGGCCTACATTGTGCATCTGACGTTTGCGGCATTTGTTTTGTTTCACCGGGTTGTTGATCCTTAACTTCCAGCCCGAACGTGTCTAGTAGAATGTCCTAATGCAAAGCTGGTGGTTCGTGGTGACCTTTGATTTTGCCATGGTTCGGTCTCAACTGATTGATGTGCCTAATCCACCTCTCACGTCCAACAAACACCTCGTAGATAACTCTGCCTTTTCTGCCGATAACAGTTCCGCTCGATCACCCCTTCGGCCTTCGAAAATCCCGGGCGTAAACCATGTTACCAACATTGAAGTTACGGAGCTTTATCTTGCCATCTTCCTCCTGGTGACTGTGGACGTGCTTTTCTATTCTTCTTGGTAAAAGATTATCAAACAACGTCCGGATCTTTCTTCCAAATAATACTTCTGTGGGTGGCTTTCTCATCAGGGGAGTTTGGATTCGGAGCGTTGCGATACTTGCCTAGAAAATCTTGAATTGCATCCTGTGAAGCCCTTTTTTGCCCTGCTTTACAGAGTGCACATTTGAACGTACCCACGAACCTTTCCGCCTGTCCGTTTGATTACGGATGATATGATGATGGGAACGTCTGCTGAATGCCATTTCCCTTGCACCACTCACGGAAAGCATTTGAGGAGAATTGTGTTCCATTGTCTGTTATTAACATCTCTGGCGGGCCGAAATATCGGAACGGCTTCTCCCCGTCGTTGACAGTGTGCTGGGCAGTTGGATTGTTTACCGGAATCACATCAGGCCAGTTGGTGAATGAGTTGACAAAAACTAGATAGGATTGGCCATTGATTGGTCCTGCATAGTCTAAGTGTATTCGTTGCCACGGTTTCTCTGCTTTAGGCCAAAGTTGCCACTGACACTTGGGGGGGTCTTTGCTGCAAATTGACAAGACTCACACTTTTGGCAAAATTTTCAATTTCCGTATCTATTTCTGGCTAGTAAACAAAACTGCGTGCCCAAACTTTCATGCGGCTGGTGCCCCATGTGGAACTGCCGCAATATTTGCCTCTGTAATTTCTTTGGCACCACCACTCGATCTCCAAACATCAGACAATTGTCCACGACTGACAGGGATCCACGTCGATTGTATAACGACGGCAACTCCATAGGTATACCTACATTTGGCAAAATGTTCGTGCACACTGTATCGCTTCCTCCAAGATTCTGTCACGGGATGTCTCTATACGAATGGTGTCGGCTGTTACTGGTAGTCTTCTCACATTCTCAGCCAGAATTCGTTGGACTTCTGATTCGAAACTGATATCTGCAATCACACAATCATCGTCCTCCTTTGGGTGTGAATTGATGAGACGATACAGGGCATCCGCTTGCCCGATTAGTTGCGTAGGTTTATACTGGATACTGAAGTCAGTAGTATGGTCGCCTATCATTGCAGTCGGTTTGTCGTAAAAACTGGAATTCCTTTCTTTGGCCCGAATATCGACAGAAGTGGCTTGTGGTCAGTCAGGAGTGTGAAATGTCTGCCATACAGCTCTTATGGAATCGTTTCATTGTGAAAACGAGCGCGAGCGCTTCCTTCTCTATCTGCTATAGTTCTTTTCATCTGCGTTAGTGACTGTGCTGCGTGCGCGATAGCCTTCTCTTCTCCATGCGGAAAAAGGTGGGCGATAACTGCACCAACACCATAACTGGAAGCATCCGTAGCAACGACAATTCTGAAATCCGGATTGAAGTGAGTCAAGGATAGATCAGAAGTGAGCGCTGCTTTGACTGCATCAAAAGACTGCTGGCACTCCTTCGTCCATTTCCAACCCTTGTCTTTGTCAGTAACTAGTTCAGCGGACCTCTGGTTTGGTGAAAGCTTGGTAGGAAAGCGCTGTAATGGCTAACGAGCCCAGGGAACGAGCGAAGCTCTGCAATGTCTTCTGGGGGCTTCATCTTTTTGTTGGCTTCAATATTAGCAGGATCCGGGCGCCGGCCATGTTTGTCGATGATAAACCCAAGAAATTTGACACTTTCTAATTGATGCTCACATTTTTCAGCCCGTAATCTCCAGCTTCTTGGAGACGCGAAAACACTTTCTCCAATGTCTCTATCTATTTTTGCGGATCTAAGCCCATAACCAACGCATCTTCCAGGTATACTGCTGTATTTGGGATATCGCTTAGCAGGTTATCCATTATTTGTTCGAAAAATGACCTGTGCAGTTTTCACTCCGAACGGCGGCCGGTTGTACTGAAAACTGCGCTCTGACCCGATATCACAGTAGCGTAAGCATAACACTGGTCAACCTACCGATGGTTTACTGTCCGCGCAGTGAGTTGCATATATCAATTATTTTTGGATTTGTTAATGCCTTTCGATAACTCTCAGTATTTCGGTAATTCAATTTGCAGACGTCCTAGTTTTCAGAATTTTTGAAACCCTATCTGCATTGTGTAAGGCTTTTCGTGAACGAGTAAGGCGCGATGCACACCAGAACGAAGTAGACGATACGCTACAAATATCACTCGCACATGTCACATTGGAAGCCAGTCCCATATCATTGCCTTACGCTGAACATCAGATATCGCTGCAACCCCCGTACGAATGTATAACCGTGCGTACGTGCATACATATTTCGTCGACACTTTGAATTTCCTCGTTTCCCTACTTGCTCCTATTGGTATACGCTATACAACCAGATGTCTAAAGTGATGAGCCCGAAATGTCATCAACGCACGTCATTTTTTTCAAACAGTCAGAAACATGTACACGGATGTGTCGAATCGCATTACGACATCCCACAACACTGATCTCACTGGTTGCTGTTCTGGCATTGCGTTCCAGAAATTGCAGCCTCCATTCCATTTGCGTCATGAGGTTCTGGAGATCCCCAACCATAAGTTCATCGTACTGCATTCGCATTTCATTCTTCACTCGGGCCTTCACCACCTGCCAAACGTTTTCGGTGAGATTGAGGAACGGGGAATACAGGCTTAATCTCCGAATGTTAACCCCTTCTTGTCCTTCGACTGACGCAAATGCTTCCAAGCGTGTATGACATGGTGCATTGTCACACACTATGACCACCTGCCGGAGCCCCACTTCCGGCTTCAGCTTGTCTAAAATGCCCCGCAGTCATTCGAGAGATAGGGGGCCAGTGAATGATCCTCTCCGGGTAGTCATCGAAACGTTTCCGTCCATTGTAAGTGCACCGATGAGATGCGAATTTAGGCCTCTATTGTTGGCTACTTTGACACAGGCCTTCACTCCTCTTGGCGCCCGATCACGTTTGCATAAAAACTAAAGTTTGTTTCGTCGAACCACATAAACAACTTCCCCTCACTTTCAAGTTCGATAAACTTCTGAACAAAGTGCTTTCGTATCGCTTTGGTTCGGTCATCCTTCATTCTTTCTGGAGTCTGATAGGTATCCTTCATAGTTATCAAACGACCATCCAGATGTCGTGCGAATGCAGACTTTGAAATGTTCTTATCTATATCGGCACGTACTCGGACTCGCATTTTGTGTAGTGTTAGAGTTGCGTCCTTCGCGATCCACTCCAGGATGTCATCAATCTCTTCCTCCGACAGAATGCGTTTACGACCCGCGTTTGCATGGCATTCGGCTTCTGATCAAGAGCGCGACGAATCCAGGAATAGGCAGTTGAATATTTTACATTGTTCACCATTGTCACGATCTGCCAGTCGTCAATGCTGACGAAGGCAGTCACAACTCGGGCACGAATGTCTGACGAGATACTCTGTCGTACAAGAGAAGGCATATTGACCACGCTGGAAAGAAAGACCCCCTTCAGTCGTACGCTTATGTTCCGGCTGTTCATTGCTCTCAGACCAATTGGGATCCAGCGTTTCGAACATGAGGGGGGAGGGGGGGCGCATAGTGGTTCGTTGCACCGCCCGTTGTTCATTCACAAGTCTCACCTAGTCAGCGGGCATCTCGCTCACTTCACTTGACTTATGCACCAAACCCCAGCACCCAGCCAATGAGAATACAATTGAGGTCAGAGGATTGGCTCACAGAGGCTGGCGAATGGCACAGACTTTTGCAAACTGTTGCGCTTTCTTTGCAAAAGTTTTGGACTTTTTATGCACCTTTGCTAGAAATGCTATAGTGTTCTCATCTTTTCTAGTTGATCGCTGCAAATTCTTTATTTTATGAGGTTTCTAATTTTTTCATGAATCAAATTTGTTCATTATTTTGGGGAATGCAGACACCTAGGGCTGTTCGGTTAGTCCTAGTTCCGTAGGCTTAGTATTATTGTTTTTCTGTACACCTTGCTGTAGGCATACTTTTCCTGCTTGCAACGATCGTAGCGCATTGGCTTGCGTCTACGAGGTGTACTTTTGAGTCCACACTACCTATGTCCTTCACGAAAATCACGTAGCTGTGCAGCTCATTGACGGTTGACTTTCACTGGTGCCCCATTCCAGTTTCTGGACTCTTCACCCGTGCCCCTTCAAATGGGACACTGTGACCCGCTTTTCGGAAACCACGCACAGTTCACTTACGGCGGTATCACGGTTTTCTCAACAGTATGCCACACCGAACTTCCGATATCGCTAACATTCGCACTGTGACACGTTTTCGTCAACACGATCACCTCTCCTTTATCATCAACTCTCTTTCTATGTTGTTTTCATAGTACCAAATCCAACCTACTGTCTCATGCCACGGAGCACCCTTCTATGACGACAGTCTCAATGGCCCAACTCATGTCCGCGTCTTCCCCTTCATCCATCTCAGCGAACAAATCGGATCAAGCCGACCTAGAAACAGTTTCTAGTGAGTGCGATGTTTTCCATGCGGTGACCAACTCACTTGAACCTCTTTTAACTCTAGCAGTCTGTTGCAGTTTCATCTCCCTGTCGCACAGCCTGCTATCATTTGTTCAACTGACCTTATTACTGTTTTACTCCTTTTGGTTTCCGTTTCCACTGGTCGCATTGGACGAGCAAAATAAATCAGCACGATAACATCGAGGCTAGTTCACGTTGCTCACTGCTATCGGTATCTTCGGCTTGCTGCAGTGTGCTTGTTGAGGTGTTTCGTTTGTTAATTCTTCCGATGAATTTTCCGTACTTATACAGGGCAGTCTAGTCATAGCCCACTGCGTAAAGCTGACTTGTGCAATAAGAAAACCTCCAGCCGATTGGTTGAGTTTTGACTGCAGTACGAAATCTCAGTTTGGAACTATGGTGTATTTTGTAGTTAAACTTGGCCCTTGTGATGACTCGAACCGCATCCGAAGTGCAAAGTTTCGGTGGGAGGGCAATACCGAGACTTCCCACTCCAGTAGATCAGCTACTAAATTTGCTTAAAGGGGTGGTGTAAGCGTCCAGGTTAGTATACCGGTGTCTTCAAAATACTTTTCTATTCGGCCAAAACACCTCGTCACGGCATGAGACAGGAGTAGATCTGTGAGATCGCATCTGCAGTTTTTGCTTCGCCATCTCAGATCTGACTAAACAGTAACGCGGTGATGAACCGATGGGCCGTTCACCAATGAGTTCCTGCTCCTAAACCGTCAATGCTGATTATACACCACATCTCTTTGGATCCAAGACCATTTTCGAAGTAAGTTGTGCTTGTCCTATTCGTCAGCACTGTGAAAATTCCCATCCTCTGCCAATCGGTTCTCACTTCCCACTGCGACCTCACTCACTATCTGCCTTCGCCCGTTCACAATTCTTGCGCAATCACTTGTGTCAAAGCTCACTTCTTAGCGATGGCTGGGTTGGATTGAATCTCCAAGCTACAGCCAATCGTTTTTCTGTTTTGTGTGTGTGAAGTATTACGTTGTTTACTGCCTATTGCTGTCTGAAAGCGTTCGCCGCAGGATATCGGATGTCGCAGTTCAACACACGCAACATCGGCAATCACGGATGAATCTATTTACTCTACTGTTTCTGTCCCCTCCATCGCAAACAAATTATCTGACCAACTAGCCTACTTCAGCGATATAGTCGACGCATGAACAGTCACGCTAAGCTACCAATGTTTTGCGCCTCATCAGATGGCAGTAAGCAACCGCTTAAAAACGCCAGATTTCTTCAGACTACATTTCATTCTAGCTACTTTGCCCCGACCCTGTCAGCTATTTGTATAATGTCATCTCTCCATCAGTCCCAACAGGTAGTGTTCTGGTCTGGATCACAGCCTGACTTTTTCCTTCTTAGTCAATAGTAGTGTTTAATAATTATGCACATGCTCTCTTGGAATCCGGAGTGGAGGATTCCGAAAATATTCTATTCCGGGTCCTAAACCGTGCGGTGGATATCGGAGGTCAGGATTTTTAGCGCGCTGTAATCCGGACGGTATTTCCGTTGATATCACCTTGTTTATCTGATGATTAACGGACTACTGATGCACTCGCAGAAAGGAAGTATCGAATAACATGGATCAGAAACTCCTTCAGTACCACTAGTTGACCGTGAACGATACAAACCGTTGTTGATCAATTACGGTCGCATCGGTTCTCGGGCTACCTCTGTTAGGCGATGAACCCCGCTGCGCTCTAAGCCTCGAAAACCCTAGGAACACAAGGCATCAGCAGTACACAGTATCGACACTTTGCTTCCACTTAACCACCACTAACCGCACGTGAGCTAGGGATACTGCTTGGGTACCTACGCAGGCTCGAGCCCGCGCCTTCGGATTACAAGGCAAGCTTGTGACAATACTACGGGCCGGTCAAGGAACACAATGCCTACCGCTTAATTTACTGATTCTTGTTCCAGAGTCTATCAAGCATCGAAACTGCCCCATATAAAACTATCCAACATCATTGGAACGGTGTAAATGGAACGCAGTAGACCAATTAGAAGCGGATCAGACGAGGCAGTAGTCTTTGCGAAGCAACGCGACACAGAAGAGGATCTGTGACGAATTGAAAGTTCCATGAACACAAATCACCCTCACTTGGATATCTGTTCCGTGTTCATTTACAGTGTATCTATCCCATTTTACAAAACAAACGGAATATCAGAAAGTACACCGCTATTTTTCATTTTATCTTGCAGTTAACTTTCCCGCTCTCTTCTGTCCTCTGCGCATTGCTTACCACCGACCTTGTTTCTGACTAACCATGGATGTTTTCACTGAGCGATGCAGATATGCGCTTAGCTATAATTTCATCGTGTTCCACGGCGTTGATTTCGTTATCGCCATCCACTTCTGACTTTTCCAATATTTCGGATTCGTTACTTTTCTGTAACTGGCCTAAAGAAATGCTTATATTTCATGTTAGACACTAAATAACTGGGTGAATGAATGTCTTGGAGAGGCTCTTTTCTGACACAGTCAAAATTAGGCGTTCCAGCCACTCCTAGCCATTGCGCACAAAATCTTTAATAAATCTCTCAGCCTGTTCGAATATTGCACTTCTTGAATGGAACTTCCATTCTTCCCTTCTCTTCAGCTAAATCGTCTACAATCGCCCGATCTTCTGTCACACGTACTCAAGCAGATCGAGATCGATTTCACGGAACTTTCACCGAATCCACCATCAAACAGATGAAACAGCGCATTTTGAAGGATTACCTCAGGGTGAGTTGCTCAGCTCTCTGACCATCAAAAATAGTCAACCGAGTATGCTGCGCACTTGGCAATCACACCGCACATGCACTTGTCGGATCGTCCATTGGATGCTGCAGTGCTTTTCGATCTTAATCGCATTTCTCTATCGACAAGAGTTATTTGCATTTGTTCAATTTGCCGTTAAACTTTTCCAACGTTTACTTTTAATCCTCGGATCTTCCGGACGCTTTGCTTTGTTGTAAGTCCTTCAAAATCGGGTAACTCATTAAGGAATTCGCGTTCAGTGCATGTGCGGGCATGAGTGGCGTGATACTATCTATTAGTATCGGTATCTTGACTGCCATCAGCCACGGGACTCCTGTGCGTACGTACTGACCATGAGTGGCTTGCACTACGCAACTCACAGCTTCATACACACACACACACGTACATGATATCCAGTTTAAACAGGAGCGACTAATACTTCCTGTGTGCTAGTAGAGACTATAGTTGTTTCGGAGCCAACCCACATTCCATCATTACAGTGGATATGTCCTAGCTACCACATGTGTCACAACAGTAATATGCAGTCTATTTCATACACACCACCCCTTCGAATCCCTTCCGCGTCAGTTACAGTGTGACACCAACGCATGCGCAGAATCCGGCGCAGGCATTGTGGATGAGAATGCTCCATATGCTGGATCCATTTCTTGCGTAGCACTGACGTTATGTTGTCCTAGAGAAGAGCCGACAGCACCATGGGTGTGTACACTGTCAGTTTGGTTCCAACAGTTATCAGATGATTCTTCCGAATGTAATGCTTCAGCTTGCCAAAAGCAGTGCTTGCTCTCTGGATACAATGCTACGAAGCTTGCAAGTCGTCCGCAGACCAAATAAGGACGTTCCTCTGAGACAGCGAAATCGTGTTAGGTTCTATACAACTTAGCCGTTTTGCTTTTCGGGCTCCTCTTGGTCTTCCTTTCTGCATGTTGACAGGAGAGTATCTGGATTTACGATGATTCGTGTACAGCTTGGTACGCAGCAAATCCATAACAGGCTCCACACTAGGCTCTCCACAGCACCCATGTCGTGCGCGCTTTTCGCACTTCACACTGGTGCATGACGACATCTTCAAACGGACTAGCCCAACCACCCCGTGCGTGCGTCCGAGCCGCAGTGCCTCTTTCACCCAATGTCAGATTGACTGTTACTGCATATTGGGTGTCGCCAGCCAGAAATCATTGTACTCCACGGCGAGTTTCGAACTCACAATGATCCATGCAATCAATCATTAACTGTTGTGACAAGCGTTACCTGCTGCGACTTGGTGGTTTCAGGGTAGCGATCACAACTCATCCCAATAGTAAGATCGAAACCCTTCAGGGAATATAGTGTTTTCGGGCGAGCAACACCCAGTTTCCTCATCACCGAATGGCCAAGGTTCACTTCACTGGGAATCGCTGTCAACATTAACATTGCGTGTCGTGATCCATCCACACAATGAGTGCTTCAAAATAACCCGTTCACAATCAGGGATTGAATTCTGGTCATCATCAGTTTGTGAACGGCACACTTTGAGGATCAACAATTACCACTGCTGTTGGATAAGCGAATCCCTCGAAATCCGATTGCATCTGCTCACACCGTGCTAAGGCACCCGTGTTGGAATTGCCAGTAGGAATAGGAAGTCTGCCCTTCAGCACGAACTGTCCCACCTAGAACATCTAGCAGTAGTACAACTGAGTTTGTTTGTCATTCGGAGGACACTTAGTGGGTACACCCATGCTGACAAATGTTGCCAACGTATTCCTTTCAAAGGTGAAATGACCTCACCGTCAGATGACTATTGGCGGTCGTGTATTGCGATGCCGAACCCGTGTTCAAGTGTTGTTCCGGCATTGTTCCCATTCCATTACGTGTGGTCGGTACCCCCTCATCTAAGCGTGCCACTAATTTCTTGGTGCTGTTTCTGCGCACCATTGCGGCGTGAATTTTCCCATTTCAGGGCTCTCTTGTTGCTTAGACTTTTAGTAGGGCTCATATTGTTTCATGCCCCCAGTCAAAAGCCCTTGATGCCTACTTGCCACTTATCTCGGCTAACCACTGCGTTTGAACCGCTGTCCGAAATACCGTCATTTTACTGCGTTATCGATGCATCTGACATGTTTGGCTATCTAATGACGGTCGGAATGTGTGCCGGTCCAAGGTACCTTGGTTTTTCATGTTAATCCGGAAACTTTAAGCTAGTCATTAGCATGCTCAGACTAGCTCATGCGAACGTATTGCTTTTGGTCGACCATCCGCATGAATTCCAGTCTATGCTAATCCGGTTCTTTATTCGCATACTGCATTCGTGGACGGGTTTGTGATCCGAAAACGGTTCACTAATTTCAGGCTTTTTATTGACCACCTTACAAGCTGCATAAGGGATTGGTTAGAACTCCGATTTGAACGTATGTCTACTAACGGCTATACAAGCTTCTAAGGTACTTTGTATCTCGTTTTTCCTACTTTGCCTTACTCGACTGTGCTCGCCCTGTCTACAGTTCACTTGGTCACACCTAACGGCACTAACCGCTTCTCTGTTGTTTGCCGTCCTTTTTCGGCTTCAGGTGTCGGGTTAGTGGGCCACGGCCAATAATTCGACTGCTAGTTGAGATCGGACTTAGAAGAACAGTTCGTACGTCGCCGATCGCCGCGTTTCCCCTTGATTGCACATAAAAATGAGTCGTTCGATCTACTTGGCGTGACCGGACTTAAACAAACCTGCAGTCGATTTCTGCGTGCGTTCAACTACCCATTCGTATGAATTTAACGCTTGAAAAGCTCTTATTTTCTCTCTTTTTCAATTCCCTTCATAACAGGTAAACAAGGATTGGTTGCTCAGTTTAGCAGGACAAAATTCGTCTCGAAATTCAGGCCGCTCTTCGTCGGTAGCATCAACAGCTGACTCGGACACAACATCTTCGCCAGTGTTTCGCCACTTGTCCCCAGGAGATAGTGTGGCCCTTGGTTCCTCCGATTCTTCCTCGCCTACTCCTTCAGCTTCTATGCTTGACCTGATTCCTTCTTCCCAAGACATGCGCGAATGTCATTCAGACCCTACACGTCCTCTTACATTGTCTTTCTCTACTCATCCGCACAGCACTATCTTTAAGCCTCTTCCTCGGTTAGAAGAGGCGACATCTGAAGAATCCATCGCCGCTCAGTCGGAGCAACTTACAGTCGTTGAGTCTGCTGTTGGACGAGACCGAGGCGACCCAAACATCTCACAGACACCTTCCAACTCATACTCTGATAGCCGAAAATCTTCTGAGTTTTTCGCCCTGTCTCTATCTTCTGCTTCGAATTCCAACTTTGATTCTGGCACTAAGGTGGACTCGGGTGCATCCGTTCAAAATGGGTCTTCCAAATTGAACGCGTCTTCGTCCAACGCAGATGTAGCGTCGGATGCGACAACTTTGCATCGTCTGCGCACTGACCTTCCTGCAACTCCCATTGAGCCATCCGAATCGGAGGTGGTTTCTTGTCTCGGATCGAATATGTCGTCCGCATCGTCCACTCACCATCCGGATAGCATCGTGCGGGAATTGTTGGAAGGAGGTGAAGAAAGCTTCTGCTTGCACAACCTACCTCCCATGATCCGATCTCCTCCGAGCGACCGTCCAGCTCTGACCGCAGTCCACACTCGCACCACCACAACCATTGATTCGAGTCTCGTGTGGGACGATGCTGATACTCGTGCAGCGGGAACGAAGGATGCTTTGGATTCGACGACGCCGAGCCGAACTCAAGGTGCTATACCACCGGTCAGTGTTTTCTCTCAATTCATTCCTGAGTCACCTCAGTTCTTTTAGTTCGTGTCTTAGGCTGGATTGCATCTTCCAACTACCCGTTTCTAGCGCAATCTAACTGTGCTGTCACTCGTTTCAACGTTTTTAGTGTTACCGCCGGTTGTCTTTGGGATGTTCAAGGATCAGTATCAATTACCTTTTGCTATGTCATTATCGCTCTCTCCACTATATTAGCTGGCATAAACTTTTTGGTCTTCAGTTTTGGTTTCTATCGCTTGAGCTGCAGCATTGTAAGCGTCTCGTAACTGCTCTGTGTTCTTGAGGCAGTGAACAGAAATCGGTCTGCCGTCAAAACGTTCAGTTTATTCAGCTGATCCTTGTGCTCTTGTGAAACTAGTTCCTAGACTCATCTACTTGTTTTTACTTGATACATCAAGTCAACAAGAGTGAATATTCGGCTACAACACACACGCTAAGGGCACAAATAAAATTAGAGCAAAATAAAACACATGTATATGGTGCGACACCAATTTGAAAACGGAACACGTAACAAATAGGGAACAACTGACGTACCATAAGCCGCCTGTGTGTGCGATCGAAAATGGTTTTGTACATTTTTTTGGTCGAAGAAGTCGAGATGCATTCCGACAATGCACAATGGAGAGAGGGTGAATATCTTGGAAGCCAGTTTTTCGCAGGAATGAACATGATTGAGCACAATGATGTTAGTATATACTAACATAGAAATTCAGCTGCATCGAGCAAGATGTTTAAGCAACCTGCTGATCACTTTGCATTGCCTGTTTAGGAGTCCAGCAAATATCACAAGTAAGCAATACGTCCAGTGCGGTATTACGCAAACGGTGACAAACCGTAAAATCAAGTAACGAGGCACGGATGAAGACTTAAGTCGGGACACTAGAACCTTAGTCTCCTGGCTTTAGTGAATGTTTCATTCACATCATGTGATCACATGCGATCCAGACTTAGTTTAATAATTTTCCTTGATAGCGAGAGAAGAACATCTTTACACTTTAATACCTTGAGTGAAAGGCAGCGGGATTTGTACCAGAACGTGCAGTTGTCCAAGAAGCATTGCCACTAGATTGGACCTTGACATGGTGCGGTGGTTGGCCTACCTACGTGACCCATTGAAGTACATTTGGTGGCGCTTTTCAACTGCCTTCAGAGCCACTCATACGAGACAGGTCAACGGTTAAGGGTCAGATTAACTCGGTATCACAATTCAATCCTCTCCAGAGGTTAGGGAGAGATCGATGGCCCTTATCCTTTAAAACCTTGCCATAGGAGACAACCGGTCTACGGGTTAGAAGCTCACAGCTCGGGCGTAGAGCACGAACGCTATGCATTGTCTCTGACGGTGGAAGCACACCCTGTGCTCAGTGATCTGCTACCTCCCGGCTTTAACCAAGCAGCCGCTAGTCAAATTGGTGCAAACCCGCCAACTCCCACCTGCGACTGGCCGTGGTCGCTGGCCCGTAGCATACGGTCGTCAAACACAAGTACATTGTCCTAAATATCCATAGGCTGTGTGTAACAGATGTCGAGCGGATCCAAACCGCTCTCTGCAATCACACTCCCCAGCTGGACTTGCTCCCCACTATCCTGTGGGTCAGGCTGTTGAGTCAAAGGCTCCTGGTGGAGTCCCTCAAGTGTACCTCCCTCTCTGCACCCCATTGCCTTGTGGGCCAGACCGTAGAACCAAAGCTTAGAGGTAGGGCACCTCCAACAAAACCCACCTTGGAATTGGCAGCCGGAGCGTTTCATCTGCGCTCTTGATCACGTCGATAATACTCCCTCTTATTTTTCTCTCCCTGTTAATTCTCTCCCCGTGCATCGAGCAAGAATATGCCGTGTACCTTGGTGCTACTGCCATCCATAATCGTAATTCGTCCATCAAACCACGAGTCTCTTTTCACATTAGTTCTTTTAACGTTCGCATTTTGGGTCAGATCTGTCAACAGGTAGTACTGACTCTCTTCTGTCTCTTGGTATGGATGTGTAATGTGTCTCCAGAACACGCATACAAGATAACAGCGTCGTGACGAATCTCTGAATCCCTGTCAACAATGACTGCGCTCTTCGCGAAAACAGTCAATGGATCAAGGCATTTCCGGTGTCGGTATCGCCTTCGGCAAACATGCTGAAGGCAGTCTACTCGACCGCATGTGTGCGGTTCGGCTTTTCACCTCTGTTAGATTTAATAAGCAGCGTCTGAAGACAAGATGCCTTTTCATCGCCTCAGTTCATGTTCCTACTGGATGCAGTTCAGAAGATATCGAAGACGATTTTTATCAATAGCCCTCGTCTTCTTCGCATAGCGAAGAATACTGACATCGTGATTGTTGCTAGTGACATGAATACCCAAATAGGTCGTCTTTCAGACTCTGAACAACACCATGGAGGACGCTTCGGAGTTGATGCACGCTGAGCAGACATTGCTGATCAATTCCTGAAACTGTACGTCGAGCATAACCTTTACCTTAGCAGCACTGCTTTACCATCACGCCCGTTTACACCACGTCCCCTAGCTCCCACCGAATTTTTCAATGTCTTGGACCCAAATTGACCATTTTGCCATCAGCTACAGATGGCGCACACCAGTCTACAACTGTCAGTCAATTTGAGGAACATACCTGGATTCCGATCACGCTGTAGTACGTGCACGTTTGGCGCTCACTTTTCCCGCTTCAAGGAAGCGTCTGTTTTATAACCTTACCTGTAGCTTGAACTCGAAGACCGCAGTTCAGCAATAAAATAATGAATTAACCCAACAAATGTCAGTGATGAATGAGGTTGGTGAGCCGAACCCTGACTAGGGTCGTTACATATGTACTATGAAAAATGCCTTTGGCGCATGATGTGCACCCAACTTGAGACGTTTTAACTGTGAATCGGTCTCTGGTGCATTGATCACTTTGATCGAAGCACGGAAACAGGTTCCGATGGGCACTGAGTTTCCGCATGTCGTTAACTCTCTGAAACGACGCATCGCAAGAAGTCTTCGAATCGACCGGGAACGTTCGTGGATGATAAGGTCCCGTGAAATGGAGAAAGGGAGTGCTAATGGGAATGGCCGAGTACTATTCCAGCTTACCCGAAACACAGTTCCAAGAAAATCATCAGTTAGTGAGACGGTATCTGAGAAAGGTGGACAATTGATCCACTCTCAATGTTGTCGACTAGCCCGTTGGGCGGGAAATTTTGAAAAGCAGTTCTGGAGGCCTGCTGCAACACTGCCGCTTGCCGAATCTCCTGAACCGACGTGGGAAGTAGACGTCTCACCTCCCACTTCGGAGGAGATTCGACACGAGTTTCCCTTATTGAAACGAAACAAACCTCCTGGACCCGACGATCTTCCTCCATCTTTGATAAAAGGTGAAGGTGACTTTATTGACAGGAATCCTTTCTCTATTTCACACTGCGTAGGTTTTTTTCAGACTTGCGACTGTCAACTCCCGTGCACATCTTCAAGAATGATCAGCGCACTTTGTGTGAAAATCATCGGGGGCATTAGTCTTGTTTCCATTGTCTCCGAACTTCTCAAGGATATCATTCTTCTACTACTTACTTTTCCCCTTGAGAGCGAAATCACTGAAAGTCTGACTGGCTTCTGCTCTAGTCTTGGTTGTATCGGCCACCTATTTACTCTTCGCCGAGTTTTAGAGCACAGAAATACTTACAGACGACTAAGTATGGTAGTTTTCCTTGACTTGGAAAGTCACCTCCGACTCCGGTGACCGTGTCAGCTCTTGGCACCGTCTATCCATGAAGGCCGTGTCGGTTAAATTCGTCTCCTCTCTCTACCGTGACTCCCGAGACTGTGTAACGGTCTACGGGAAACTGTCTTCTGAGTTCCCCACGAAAAGTGGGGTTCGCCAGGGTTGTCCTACGTCTCCTTTCCTTTTCAACTTGATAATCCAAATAATCATGAATGACTGGGTTCTTTCAGACTCTACCGGAGTGAAAGTTCTGTCAGGCGAGAGACTGTCAAATATGGAGTGTGCGGACGACATTGCTGTCTTTGGGTCTGTTGCAATGATTATACAGACAATTCTGGATAGAATGATGCTTATCGCCGCACGCTTCGGCATGTGCTTTGTACCTTGTCCTGACTATCACCGAACATCCACTGGAAGTGGCGGATCAGTTCATTTACCTTGATAGTTGTCACCTCTGGTGATCACATCACTGAGGTGACTTCGCGTATCAGCAAGACCCGTGTGATTTTCTGGAAGCTCAACCATCTGTGGAGACGGCTGGATATCAGCCTGTCAGTAAAAAGTACGGCCGGTTACTGTATAGATCAGAGATCTAGTTAGTTCACGGCGAAGACATTGAACGCTTGACCGTGTTTGACCGTCAGTGCTTGCGGAGTATTGCTAACATCTAATGAGAACACCAGGTGAACAATGCTGAGGTCCACCAGTTGGTTTTTTGGCAAGAAGCCTTCTGGTCCCTCACTCGACTTTTTACTAAATCGCTTACATTGGCTACGGAATGTCCTCCGTATGCCCGTTGACTGGTTTCCTCGGCGCGCATTACGCGCCATGGCTGCACCAGGTTGGGCGAAACCTTCACGTTGTACGGAGGCATGGAGAAATTGATTACAAGACTTGGTCAGCCTGGTGCATGTCGTCTTCGTGGGTGGTGGCCTTGGAATAGTCCACACCAATTGTTAGAGACCTATCAGGTATGGATTATACACGGAGTCAGTGACGTTTCTGCATCCGCTTTCTTGCATCCGGCTGTTAAATTTAATTCGACTCTAATTATTCTAACGCAACTTCTTCTTGATTCCACTTGATGAGATCGATTTGAGCATCGAACAAATGTACTAAATCTGTTCAAACCACCCCATCCTCTCTCTCAATTCTGCCTTCACCAGCCTACTGTTGCTTTTCTCAGTTCTGTAACTGTAATCACCTGATTTGAATTATCGAAAAGAGATCGTTTTACAACTCTGATCTTACTCACTGTTTTTATTTTTCCATGGGAATTATTTACGAATAATCGAGTTACCTACAATCCTGCTGTTTTGCCGTTGCTATTTATTGTCGTTATTGCGATGTGAGTCCTGGAAACTGTATCCACCGCACGTCGGTGCTCGGATCATAGTTGATCAACTGAACCGAACTGAACCTACTACGCTACTACCGCAATCACTTATTTTTGTTGTGGTTGTGTGCCACCATACCACTGATGGGTGCTTTATAGCGTTTCCTAAACCTCATCGTGCAGTGCCTTCAGACTTCTACCGAGATCTTCCACTAAGTCGCCCGATTAACCAATTTGCTGATTATGCGTCAATTGTGACAAAATGCTTGTTGCCCTTCATACATGCCGAATTTATGACATCAGCTTTGAACTCTGTTTTGTCCCCGATGCTGTCAAAGAATCCTCTTTTCTCCGCCATCATTCCGGAGGTCTTTTCTTTACTTGATGCACAGGGATAATCTGATGTTTTACGGTTCCATTGGAGTCCACACGGTGCTTCTCATTTGTCACGCGCGGTTTTCGTTCCACCGTACAAGCGCAAACAAGAATGAAGACCAGTAACTGTCACTTCGGACATTGGGCTAGTGTCCTCGTGCTTAGCACAAGCGTCGCGAATGCCATCCCTGAATATTACATTTGTGCTTGATCCGCCACAAGTAATTGGGCCATTATTCTGTCTTTCAGTCGCATAGGCGATTCTTCCATCACTCCTAATTGTCCGAAGCATGGGTAAACCTGGACCAGCAACGCGGAAACAGTTGGTCTTTACTACGTTCAGACTTCCAGATTCAGATAGAACCTCCGAATAAGCCACTCCTGTTTCTGCCCGCAACATATGGGCATGAAATGGCTCAGTGGCACGAGTTAACTATACTGCTCGCGATTGGTGTACTCAAACCTGCTAGTGTTCGTTACTGTAAAAAACAGATGCCAGTACTGTCCGTGATTTTTTCGTTGACTGATGTATTCTTTAACCAGCTGGCGCTGATTAGTTGGGATATTTTTCGGTAGTTACCTACAGCTTCTTTTTCATCCAATCTACTGAGTCCAACAGATTTGCTTGTTACCTCGCTGTCTTCATGTTAGCTTTGCACATGTTGGCCAGTCTGGATACCGATTTGCGTTTGAACCTCTTCTTAGGCCACCATCGAAACAGCCTCTATCAAACGCTATTTCTTTCGAACAGGGCTCCTTTTTCTCTAATCTAACCACGACATCCAAGTCTCCTGGGTCCGAAGGAAATGTGGCCAATGAACCGAGGCCGTCAACTCCTGCGGAAGGTGCCCTCACGCCGACACCACACCAGCGGATATTCAAGTCAACACCGGGTGATCGCGCACCATTTCAATCCATGCCCACTATCTACGTCGACTGTGCGTCCGAAACGCCCACAGACGTTTACCACCCGCATTCGCCAACCATGAGCAAACGCAAGCACACGCTGTACGCGTCTTGGAGCAATTTCACTCGCAAACCACCTTTAGGGCACGCACAACCGTCACCTTCAGAGTCACTGCTTTCATTTCAACACCACGAGGCGAGCTGTCTCTTTCTCAGCGATCCTCAAGTGAACATTCACCCTTTGCGCAAAGGTAACAGGGGTGTGCTTCGTGTGTGACTTCTCACTTTTTCAATCTCTTCCTCTTGGGTAGCCTGCTTTGCAATCGCAACTGTCCCCGAATAGGTCGGTTCCGTTTAAGTCCCCGGTCAAGTTTATCTCTTTCTAACCTATTCCGTAATAATAATAATTACTTTGTTTTATGTATTTACCATAGTCAATTGGAATGTCAGTCACCAACACGCTTCCATCACTCAATCTTCTCTCTAAATCATCATTAATGCAACTCTGCTGGGCACGTCGTTAGAACCGGTTGCTTCATGCAATGCTCGATCCATTTGCTTGGCTTATGTACCATAGTCTGCGCATGCGTTACAATACAGCAAATTGTTGCATGTATTGTACAGTATTCTTTGCACTAGTGTTACTTTGCGACCAACAGCGTTAAGTTCCTCAGCCACTCATCCAGATCGTTAGCTGGCTTGTCGTGCACATTTGCTCATCAACCTCTCAGGACGAGGTCCTCCGTGTTAGACATTTTATACATATCGATGAAATGATTCCCAAAAGCCACGAGTTTAGTATAATGACTTCTGCCAACGCCATCAAGAGTGTCCGTCTATTCAATTGTTGATTTCGAGTGCTCCACCATGCGTCTCGGATATCTTTTGCCGGTGTCCCACCAATCTCCTCACGATGTAGCTCCTCTTTAGTAACACGGGATTCTTTTATAGTTGATTAGAATATCCTCCGTTAAAACAAGTGTATTGTCATCGACATTTGTCTTGCGAAACACTGTTCTGGCTTATTTTGGAAGCGGTATTGCAATGTTTCTATGACTACACTCCATAAAAATCCTTTTTTTCATCACACATGGCAGGTTCAGGGGGTTGAGCGTCTTAAAATCGGTAGATTTTATCTTCGCCTCATCACCTGAGCCTGTTTTCGACCGGCCTCTTGACGACTGTATTTGTCAGTATCCGCATTCGGAGCTGTCCCATTTTTATCGCAGTCTCGTGTCCGCGGAGCCGGGATCGGAACTACCATGATTTTCGCCAGATCCTGCTTCGGAGTCATATTTGTATTTGATTCACAAGTCACACTAGAGGCCGGTACTAGGCACCTTTCTTTACTCACTCAATATGACAACAGTTTGTAAAGGACCCGCCTCACGACTGAGTTTACCATGTGGGGTTTTACGCTAGTTAACAAGTTACAATAGGTTTCCAATTCTGGAATCGACCGAGTGCCAATAAACACCGTTCCCGAGCAAGTATCATGATTGTTATTTATGTGGACAAGCGTACCCGATTCTTTCTTTCTTCTTGTCTGCACATGCCACTTCGCTTTCTGGCGAGCTGTGTCGTAGTCCACTGCGTGTTTTCTACCACTGCTGGGACTCCCTTTCTCTGAACGCGTTTCCCTTTGCAATTGGTCAAACATAACCCCGAGCACCTAAATTGGACTTTATTTCCTAATGTCTGTACAAATGTCAGAGTACCTATATTCCCTCAGGCCTATGTACCAGCCCAAAGTACCTACAAAGGTGAGCGCCATCAAACCAACTATCCTGGAGATGATGATGATGATGATGGTGATGATGATGGCTTGGTGCTTTAAACAAAACGATCCAACACATACATGCGCGCTGGCGTCACTTTCTTTCAAACTTCTCCCATCTCATTTGAGTACCAGGCATTTCGCTTTGTTGCTGACAAGGGATCATTTTTCGTTCTTCGTGATGTCATGGTTACCTTCGAAATCGGACCGTGCTATACGGACGTTTGGTATTCACCAAGCAGGGAGACATGCTGAAGTTAACTGTTTGCTTTAATTAAAAGAAACCGGCACGGCTGCGGAGTGTCGGCATCAACTACTGTTGTACGATTGCCATGCTCATATTTATGAGCCTCGTGCGGTCGCAGTTATGGGTCCGAGGCCATTTCATCGTATTCACAGTCGTCGTCGTCATCATCATTACACATTAGCTGAAGGAGAGAAATACATGTTCAGGTAACTGTGCCGCAACACAAAAGCTAAGGTACATGAAGAGCGATATACGAAACATTATAGAATGCAAATCAGAAATCAAGTAAAATAATGCTGTGTCATATCTATGTAGTGTGCGACCCCTTGTTGGAGGTGGAGACTAAACCGGAGCGAAAGAGACAAGGAAACTCACAACACAAGTGCCTCTGAGGTCGGCTCTTCGCCATGTCCACTAGTGTATCCAACCAGACGTTTTCATCGTCCTCGAGACCCCAGTCTGTCAGGCAAGTGGTACCAACCGACGCCAGGTCCTCTTGACCAATTCATCGCTTGGCCTCTCCTCTTCCAACTGCACACGCAGCGCACAAACAATGCACCTCGCGGGAGTCACTGGGCTGGCAAGCGCCACATGTGGTCCAGCCATCGGAGTCTGATGCGTGATATAACAGTGCTGAGCGGTTCATCCGCCTTTCCTGAACGTAATACGCGACGCCGAACACGTTTATTACTGATGCGGTATTCCTACCAAACATGCACCAATCTGCGATGACATCGATTGTCTAACGTGGCTAGTTTCTTTTGGTCTGTCGCTCTTATAGGCCAGTCTTCGCAACCGTACAGGAGGGTTGAACGCACGGTTGCGTTCTTCACAGTAATACATCACCCAACCTTACTGAGACTTCACTGCCATGCATAAATTATGAGGCACGTTGGTAGCAATGGATGTTTGAAAAAGAGTTAATGCATGACCGACTGTTGGGTCTAAACCGTCGAGCAATCATTCAGAATGAAGGTGTCTGCGATTTTTTCAACTACGTACAGTTACAATTAGCTGGCTATCATACGAAAGTGAGGCGGTCTGTGAGTCAGCTCCTTTGCGACTTTCGATACCCTGTGTCGAAGTGTATCCTACCCCACGGACAACTCGGCACCACTCACACATTTCAAATGAGTAGCCATGCCACCGATGCTGGTTTATAACCATGTAAAGTTTGGCAAAACGGGGTTCGCACGGACACAATTCGTAGCGCTAATCTTTGTAGTTGTTTAACCTTCGGCCCTCATCCTCACGGTTCGGTTTAGGCAATGTTTCCCTTGACACTACTGAAAATACTGTATTATAGAGCAAGTAGAAATGAATTCTGTACAACTCTTTCGAAATATGGTGAAAAACGTTATAAAATTGTCAGCTGGGAATATCCTTCTCATGTAACATTTAAAATATCTGACTTACGATATTTCAAGATTCACAAATGTGATATGTCATCGTAAGTGTGCACTCGTTCTCTGAATCGAATAGTGGTAAACTATAAATCTAACAACCTTTTGAACTGCTGCACAGATGTTACCTCCATCACATGTTCAGTCAAACTGTTCCAAATGTTTACCACTCTCCATTCGAAGCACAGTGGGTGGGGAACACATTTCACATCCGGCACGACAAGTTTGTATCTGTGTCCGCGTGTGCTGAATGGCCCTCGTCAGTGCAGCATTGGCGTCAGCATGGGAAATCACCGAGGCGTAGAATACGGTAGGTCATAATGAGGTCGAGTCGTATCTGACGGTAGGACAAGGTATAGAGTCCTAGTTTCTCGCACCGGTCATCATACCCCAATCCACGTAAACTCGGGATGAGCCTGTTAGCAACGTGTTGGACACGTTCGATCTTTTGTGCCTCGTCTCGGGTAATCGGAAAGTAGGCGGGCGAACCGTACTCTAGCATTGGTCTAATGATGGAAGAGAAGAGGCGAGTGGCAACCTCTTCAGACCATGTGCCGAAGCTACGTTTGAGCACCCAAAGCATGCGCAGTCCGTTACAATATAGCCTGTTCGTGTTGTCCACGGACTTCAAATCGTAGCGCGAGAGTACACCTAAGTCCTTCACGGAGGGTGTGGGATATAGCGGTTGGCCATCAAGCTTGCAGCTTCGGCCTTCAGCACCCTTCCCCAGGCTCATAAATACAGACTTGGCTGGGTTGACCGGGAGATGAACGGCTGCAGACCATGTAGATAGGCGGTTGAGGTCTTGCTGAAGTAGGCCACAGTCGTCTTCATGTCATCCGCAAGCAAGGCACACAGCGACCGGAGAAGCTGAGGTAGATTGTTGATGTGGATCAGGAACAGAGTGGGCCCCAGCACAGTGCCTTGAGGCACGCCACTTGTAGAGGGATACCAGTCAGTTGGTCGTCGACCTGTACCCTCCACTTTCGCCCAACAATAAAGTTGCGGATCCACCGGTGCAGTGAACCACTGACACCACACATCCTGAGTTTGTGAAGAAGAACTTCATGACTGACCTTGTCGAACGCTTTACTGAAATCGATGAATATCACGTTGACAGACTTCCCCTTGCTTATTGCTTTCAACCACTCATGCCTCGTCACAAGCAGGTTCGTAATGCATGAGCGACCTTGCATAAAACCGTACTGTGCGGGCGTCAGGACCTCGTTTGACTGTAGCAATCCCTTCTTCAAGATTTTTTCAGCAACCTTTGCCAAAATAGGTGTCAGACAACTTGGCCTGTAATTGTCTACTTTGCTAGGGTCGCCGCCTTTTGGAATAGGCTTCACCACCGAACATTTCCAGTCAACCGGCAACGAACCTTCGAACAGCGACCTGTTGAAAAGGTCAGTCACGACAGGAGAGATGATGGTCGAATGTGACTTGACATTCAGTGGATGAAGCCCATCAGATCCGGCAGGTTTGGTGCCGTCAAGGTTGGCAAGTAGTTGACATACCTCTTCAACGCCGCAATCCAGACTGTCGAGTTCGGTAAAAGCGGTACACGTCGAACTCGGAACAGACACTTGGTCATTTGCAAATACAGAAGCGAAGTGCGCCGCCAACGCGGACGCATGCTCAGTGCTGGAGGTTAGAGGCTGTCCATCCGGGCCATCCAGCACTGGTACATCACCTGCCGGCTTCAGGCGTCGCTTCAGGTAAGCAAAGCTTCTCTTGGGGATGGTCTTCGCGACGATTGCGAGCTGCTTTTCCATATTAGCATCGCTAAGCTCTACAAGAGAACTCAACTTGGAAGACTGCTTTGAGTTTACGATTCCTTGCGAAGAATAATCTCTTCGATAATACATTTCAGACACCTACAATTATAAAACATAGGTGTTAGTTGAATAGGCTCGTGAAAGCCGAGGCAGAACATTAGCAGCTAATTAACAAAGGCAGTATGCAAGTTCAATCAATGGTTCATTCCAGTGGACTGGTCACATGCGAAAACCCATGTGACCATGGCTGAGTAAGCAATGTTGTGAAGGGGGTTCAAGACCAGGACAAAGTTAGGGTTTGTATTAGCATTCGCCGTTTACACAGTTCTGCTTTTAGAACCCTAATTGCAATGGCTTCGGCGATTACCATTCAATGTTTCTTTGAATTCTTTGAGTAGCGTCTTGGGATAGAATAGATGACTTCAAAAGATTCATTCATCCGCACTTGATGTCCAGTTTCCACTGAATGTTGTAGAATAGAACTGTTGATGTGTTTCACTGTGCCTTTTCGAAGTGAAGCCGGACAATGCTCAGCGATCCGTTTGAACAAGCACCTAGTCGTATGTGCAAGATATCTTGCACCACAGATGCAACTGAATTGACATACGGTGTACGATTCGGACCGGATCGGGAGTGTTTGTCCTTTAGGTGCTGAGGAATAAGTGGTCTTGTTTCGGCAAGTAGTCTCAACTTGAGACAGCTGGAAACGTTTGGGCAACTGCACTGAACAGTTTTCGTCTCAACAGTTCAAAGGCGATATCACCTTTACAAGGAACTGTATGGAAAACATTCTTTTTCGTACTGTAGCTACAGATTTGGTAAACTCGGGTGGCATGGCATGTTTTCTAATGAAATGGATTGGATACCCATTTTATTGCAGCGTGCTAAAATTGAGCTTCCTTTCGCTTTCATTCATTTTGGGTCTTCAGATGGCTCTGGCACGGTGGTACAGGCAACGAACCAAATTTATTTTATATCTCAAAGGTACGAAACTGAGAAAGTGGGTGTATTGGCCTGCACACGTCGCCTTGCGGAAAACGTTACTTACGCTCGTTCCATCTTTCCTTCGGTGTAACAGAACATCTACGAAGGCCAAACGGTCATCATTTTTTTCAACTTCACTGGTAAATTTCACTGCGGGATGCACTCGGTTGAACTAATATCTAGTAGAATGACGCAATCGATGGATGAGTTACAGACAAGGAATGTGTTATCCATCTAACGGTGGTATGCGTCGAGTGAAGCAATAAGGTGACTCAAGGGTCCACCTTCGAGTTTTGCAAGGAAGATCTCAGCCAAGAATGGGCGATTCCATCAATCTCTCTCCAATAGATCCCGTGAAACAACTGCACATTGAAGGTGCAACATAGGATCACTTCTTTCAGCTTCTTCTGCCTAGCATTAGAAACATCAACACATCCCAGCGAATTTCACTGACTGTATAACGAACATCCGTTAACTTATTGTAGGCGCGGACGCAGTCCACGTTATTCGAGCGCATATCACTTTAGGTAGTGAACGCCCGGTGGGGTGCTTGCTTATTTTCAACTCGTAGAAATGTAAGAAAATGCGGTTGCAGAGATCTCTCTTATTTCGTTTGTCCGCTCCGTCATAACTGGCAGACAAATCGACTCACGCACACATCCCGTTCAGTGACCACTAACACTGAGGCAAATTATACCTTCCGCTGAGCCAATCAAGGTACGGTTAGAAAGCGAAGCTTTCTCTAGTGTTAATCTATCCGAACAATATACAATGAGACCCTGATCCCACTGATCGGAGTGGTGAGGTTTGCTTCAAATTAAACCAGAGTCCCAAGTGGTATGACTTGTTGCGTTTCAGGCACACCGTGGGGACTCCAAAACACAATAATGAACTTATCCTTTGCTTCTTGCACCCGAATTCTCCACTTTACAGTCGCTGAAGTCATTTCAACCTAATAAGTAGACACTATAGTTTTCTGTATGACGTGAACCATATCGTTGCCATCCGCATACTTCGAGCTTTGCAACATGCATCCAATCAGCACTGGCTCTATGTTACTGTCTTTATGTCTTTTTCGACGCCCTGCTAACCCACATCGGTGGAGTGAATACTCACATCATACTACCAGGGAAACCAGCCAATGGAGATGACCCTGACGTCTGTCTTATTAGTTTTTGCACAAGAGGCTCCGTTGGCATATCCAGCTCCGTTGTGTTTGCGAAGCTAAGTGTCTCCCCTCAAGTGGTCTCATAGGTTGCATACACATCTTAACATCTGCTTAAATCACTACTTCCTGTGTACTCTATCCACCGTTCACTACACTCAGATCAACGAAGCCAGGATCATCAATTCCCTCAAGGCAGGTTCGATCATGTAAATATGGTCACAATTATGAACAATACTCACGCTACTCGATCCGTCATAAATCGTCAGGAAACCCGCGGTGTTTTCCAGCCATCTGGTCCCCACGGGCGAGGTCAGCAATCGAATGTTTCAATCCCCAAGTGGGCCTCTGACCCATCTAAATCCACTTGTCCTGAAACTGTGGACCCGGCGCCTACGAATTCGCGAAAGAGGCCTAAAGTGCCTCACAGACGCCAGCAAACTGTGCCTGTCGCCGGTACAAGCAACACTAAGGTGAGCATGTATTGCAACGTACCATCTTCTGTCCTTTTATTCATCCTTATCTTTCTCTGAATCTATTTCTACTCGTTCTCCGATCTTCAGGTGCAATCCCGTCATGCTTCCGGTCCCTGTCATGATCGGGTTTCTCGGCTTGTGGAGGCCGTTCACGTCAGGAGGACAGCCCAGTATCATGATACATCCTGTATCGCGGTTTCTCAGCAGGCGAATACCACACTTTCTCCTCCGGAGCGTCCCAGTCGTGCAGCACACAACGCGATGACAGCTTCAGGTAGACAAACATATTTGATGCAGCCTCCAAACATAAAAACTGAGTCCGGTTCTTTGCCTGGCGCTCTTTTGGCTTCTGACTCACTCTCAGTACAACAGTCGTTGAGTGAACAGTTATCCCGTTGGCGGGCGGATCGATTGGGTTTTCGCCACACCTCACGTCCCAAGTCCATTTTCCGTGGCTCCTACGAAAACCTCCCCTGTCTACCAACTCCACTAGGTTCCATTGGACACCTCTCCTCTGCGGATTCTGCGGCTGCGCCCCCGACAAGACCGACCGGTTGCTCCTCATCTGGTCCAAGTTTCTTACCTTTCATCGTGGAACCGTCTTTTGAAGACGATATGAGTGAGTTGGATGCTTTTGTGCAGTTACTTATAGCCGAACTCTTTCTTTATATTACGTCCAAAATAACCACTCTTCACCACCAACCATTCATCGTACTGCAACTATCTGTTGACTTTCCCGTATATTTTTCAGGCTCCACTACTTTACTGGTGAATGAAATTTCCCTACCACCAACTCTTGAGCCTAGGCCCTTCACTCCGACGCCAGGGGAGCGCCCGTCGACAGATTCTGAGGACCTAAACACCCATACTCCTCCTCTGTTGACTATCACCGGTCAGGATGTTTTAACTGGGACGTCTGCGCGGCCGCCGGCCGCTTGTGCTGGCGATGAGGTGTCCTTCGGACGCCAGCGTGTTCACATTGGTGTTCGGTGAGTTCCATGGAAAGGTATACGTCAACATGGTGCCTAATGTACCAGGACTACGTTACTGAAGATGCCTGTTGGCTACTTATTTGCTTCCGTATACAATTTGTTAAACAGTCCCAGCGGAAAATCATCGGTTTTAATCTCACTTATGGTATTCCGACCTGCTGATCCTTACGCCGACTTCTTGCACGCCCACTCTTCCCGTTCTGCTGGTTGAACAATGGAATAAAATGATGGTAATAATACGATTAAAAAGCTAAGGCTTGGCAAGTTCCGTTTGCTGGTCTGTGTGAAGTACTTAAGTTCAATGAAATACCACCAACGAAGTAAATCGCACATCTACGGACTCCACATGATATTCACGTTCGCACAACTGTAAATCCACCTGCCTTTATTTCGTGGAAGGCTGGTGAGCGTCATCATCATCATACTACACGTTAGCTGGAGGTGGGGAACACCTCAGCTACTGTACCGCAATACATAGAAAAAAGGAGAAAAAAATGCAACTCGTGCAAGCTGGCTGAGCTACCGGTAACGGATGGGCATCGTTCCGGTAAGCTACCAGCCAGCTGCTGTGCACCAAAAAAGAATTACTATGCAAAATCATATAAGGCTAAATAATGAGATCGTGGTTGGAGGGGAGGCTAAGAGGGATGGGGTGGGACAAAGAAACTCACAGCACGAACGCCACTGAGGTCGGCTCCTAGCCATATCAGCAAGTGTGTCCAACCAAACGTGTTCATCGTCTTTCGGACCCCAACCAGGGAGCCGAGACGCTTCAACCGAGGCCAGCTCAGAAGTGAGGGCCTTCATTCCTCTCGACCAAGTCATCGCTTGGCCACCCCTCCTCTTTTCCATCCACATCTCCGGCGCACAAACAACACACGTCGCGGGAGTCGGTGGGCTGGCATGCGTAACACGTGGCCGAGCCATCGGAGCCTGATGCGTGAAATGACGGTGCTGAGCGGTTCAGTTCCTTTTCCTGTGCCGTAAACGAGGCGTCGAACACACTCGTTGCTCACGCGATGTTCCCACCAGATGTGAGCTAAATTACGAAGGCACCGGTGGTCGAACGTAACTAGCCTCTTCAGGTCCGCTGCTTTAAGCGGCCAGGTTTCACAACCGTACAGTAGGGTCGAACGTACCGCTGCATTGTATACTCTACCCTTCAGGGCAAGAGTGATGTCGCGCCGGCGCCATAAGTGGCGAAGGTTAGCAAAAGCGCCCCCAGCTTTTGCTATACGATTCGTGATCTCATCTTCAATCCCACGGTCGCTGATACAACTTCCCAGGTAGTTGAATTTTTGAACGACTTCTAACTGATCTCCACCAAGGGTCAGCGTAGGGGGCGGTCCAGACCAATCTTGAAGGAACGCTTTGCACTTCGAGGGTGCGAAGCAAAGCCCGAAGTGACGGACAGCTAGTGCTAATCTGTTCAGCGCGGCTTGACACGTCTGGGAGCTGTCACAGATTAGGGCAATATCATCAGCATACTCTAAGTCAAGAAATCGTTCTCCTGGGAGCTGGCTGGTGAGCACAATGTTTGTTTTCGTTTCGTTGTCACCCGATGAACGCAGTTCATGTTATGCAATTGATGTAATGCATCGTCAAAACATTTTTTTCATAATGGATGATGTGGACGCATAAGCGACAAAAGTCGGAAGAGTTGGCTGTGTTGTGCTGCCAACTTCAGCCCTTCGACCTCTTACTTTACTATTATGCTTAAGCTTTAGAAGGTGGCGCAAAGGTGACTGCAGCTTTCCGAAATCTGATAGGTTTGGGGTGACGTCATCTCGTAAATGATGATACCTTCCACTGTATGTTCCTAAGGTTTTCAGTCTCATTTGGTATGACGGACAGAATAGGCCCTTTACGTTTTCAGTTAACCCTCGCTTTGGGGTCTCCAGTGCAGTCAGATCGTGTTTCTGGTGTGTTTATGCACTCAAACAATAAGAATGTAGCTACATCAGTGCACAATATCCTAAGGTGAAGATGCTTAGCGTGATAAAATGTTAAAGAAAAGTGAACTACTCATATATTGTCAGTAATGTCATTCAGTCTGTGAATTGTAATTCACAAAGAATACGTGCATTATGAGTTATCAGCAGGTGGCCAACCGCTAAATCCTCGTCCTGTCGTTGAGATCGTAAACGTCCGACTTGCCATAGTCGATATGTACTGTTGGGGAAACTGGCTGTACGTCAGCATATGGTCATCTCCTCCGTCATTTTATTTGCTTATGTTAAGCGTTCATTTTTCACCTCACAGATGTCTCATTTGTATGACCGTATTGCATCTGCAGACCACATTCACTGCAGTATACATGTAGAAAGCGAAATTGTGGCAAACGTGGATAGATCAAATACTGTCGTGTCCCTTCCTTTTTCCAGTTTGCATTCATTAACTCCATTGCAGTTGAGCGCATGACGGATGTCGTCCGTTCAAGACCCGCACTAAATCGATAGGTGGTCCATTCGATGGAATTTAGCGATTCCGGTGCTAGTGAGTGCAGTGCTCGAGCCGCATGTTCACCTATACCACGTCACCTCACCCCGCACGTGTGACCGGATGTTGATCGCTAAATCCAAATGTTTTTATGTTGGCTGACCTCATCCAAACTGTCCTGCCTCTCATTTACATAGAAAAGTGTTCTCCGAAGTACGCCCATACTTCGTACCGACACTTCACTGCCGCGCGACCACAGCTTGTCGCGCACTGGCTGTTGATGCTGATAGGTCGCTGGCATGTGCACAAGTTCTAACCGGTTCCCTTCCGACTAGAGGGCAGACGCCTGGACCGATAGGCTTCCGGTCCGCAACCTGTTCTCGTAGAGTAGCAAGTAACATCTGGGCGTGCGAGTGAAGTGAAAGAAGTCGAGACGAATAGAAGTGAATGAACGCCGACTGTCGTTGCTCCGGTTGATCGTGTTAAAACACACCCATTTTCGTCTGTGGCAACCGCGATGAATCTTAACTCGTGCTACTCGTGAGTAGTAAATGTCAGTGAGTTACGCCATATTGCACGTTTTATGACTTGAATCCATGTTACTGTGAACACGCGGATTGTCCAGCGGGGGCCGCTCATCCGCGTTGCTTCTCAGCCTGGAGCCCTACTTACTCTGGCGCTCTGTAGCCTTACGGCGTTAAGTGTGTACGCCATCATTTTGCACTCTGCACTTTCCCTCAATCAATTTGTCTAATGTGCTCACTAACGCAGAGCGCTGCACCCTACTGCTTGTGCTCCACACATTTCATTGTGCAAAGTACTTTTGCATGACGTACCTGACACTCCCAGCCTTTGCTATCACGAACGAACCATCGCTCAATTCATGTACTTGGTTGTTGTGCCACTTCATATGACTACATCACTGAGGAGGTTGCTTCGCGCACCAACAAAGCCTATATGGCTTTCTAACGCCTACATCACCTTCTGGTACAGCGGAATTCCGGCTGGGCTGTGCAGCGTATGGTGCGCAATCCTTATATGGGTCCCCTGTTAGTGTATGGATAACAAACAGGGCCACTTCACAGTGTGGACATTAGGTAAACTGTTTTAGATCCACTGATGCTAACGGGGTTTGATCTCATCGGATGTGAGCACCGGGTTAGCAATACCCAAGTCTACCGGTTGGTGTTTGGCAATAAACCTTCTGGGACCTAAATGGATTGTCTGTTAAATTTGTTCCACTCATGTAGGTCTAGTCATGGCTTCCGTAGACCTCTTGCCCGTCTTCATCCGCGCACATTATATGTTGTCGCTGCAGCTAGCTGGGTGAAGCCATTAGGCGCGACAAGGTCATGGGAAAAATTAGTAGACTGATTTAGATGAAATGATACGTGCCTCTGGATGGCTCACTTCGGTGTCTGGAGACTTCCTCCGATATGACGCTTTCACGGTATCTGATGCTTCTGCATTTATCCAAGCCCTGTTGATTCCATCAACTTCTGTCATCCCTGCGACTCGAGTCCTGACAACCGCATCCGCTGCAGTTCGATGCTCAGATCATGGTTGCTTTGCTGTAGTGAATGCGGCTCATGGCGTTTCAAACCCGGCTGAAACTTCGAATTCGGACCACTGAATCCATTGTGGACACTTCCCCATGTGGTTCCTCTGTAGTACGCTTTCACCCGTCTGTGGAGCGAAACATTCGTCCGAACTAAATGAAAATATCCGTACCTCGGGGTGTGGATGCGGATTTTGACCTGCCCTCCGAGCTGTGTGATTATTGTGCAGACGTTTCGTTGCCTGGCAGGGCAACATCATCAGTGCGGCTTCAGAGGCCTGGTTCGCAGTGCCTCGTAAGCGACTTCAATGTCCAAGTGCTTATTTGCCAAGTTCTGCTTTGAATGCCGGCCCTCATTGAGCTCCCGTGCTTTCGGCTTTTAGTCGTCCCGAGGATGCTGGCGTGCTCTAGGTCGAATTGATGGCTCTCGACATCCATATGCACTGTCGCCAGGGACTTCTGAACGATTTACTGGAACGGGTTAACTCCGAACCACCCGGCTGGCACCACGAGGAGACTGTTCGGCTAGCCAGTTTCTTTACTGTCTCTCATTGCTCGGACTGAATCGGGAGTGTGGCTAGATCAAGACACGCGGGCAGCACAAATGGTTGCAATCATTTTGGACACCATCTAGTGGTCACAAAGAATGAGGCTGATAAGCAACGCCACCGGATTTTGGGGCAATGGGAGGTTTTTGTGAATGAACACAGTGAGGTGAGGTGTTTGAAACGGGGTTAAGTGTTCGAGATGGGGATACCAGCAGATGCACAAACAAGGGAGAGTGGGTAAGGAAATTGTTGACAATACCCGCAGCTCGGGCTGTGGACGAAAATTGATTAGGCCTCAAAACGACGATTCGCTATGTGAACCGAACGAGCGTATGACGACAGATGTTTCGGATTCTGAGCTGTCTTCCGAGCTGAGTGATTATTGTGCAGACGTTTCATTGCCTGACAAGGCAACATCATCAGTGCGGCTTCAGGGGCTTGGTTCGCAGTGC